CATTAATGTTTTATTGGGATAAGAGAGAGAGAGAGAGAGAGAGAGAGATTACAACTAATCTATATTTGTATTAATGATACGCCCGAGGATCTAGGACATTGGGAAACTCGTGGTGAAAGTGTTGTAATATTTTTATACAAAAACTTTGAAAAAATTAGAGGCCAGTCGTGTATGGGATGGTGTGATCCCCAACTACACCACTCACCAAAACACTTAACCTCAGTATTAAATCCTATGGTTTATCAATATATATCAATCACCAGATTATAGACGATAGAAATGATAGATAAATAGATAAAAACAATAATAATAAAAAATGTTTCATTAAAAACATATCATTTATAATCTATTCAATCGCTTAATAGTCAACACAACAGATATAAATGTATTGTAATCTAATTGTCTATAAAAACAGCAGTGTTGATAACTCCATAGATACCATCAAGGTATCTCACAAAAAAACACTATTAAACTTGAAATGTACAAGGTCTACCTTGCCGAGGTGTACCCTAACCCCCATCAATACAGTCTATACACAGGTATAACATACTTGAGAGGGGCGTCAAACTTGATAGAGGCGGCGCAATGAAACACTACGGACACGGTGTCGGTGACCAGCGCCCGGTCGGCGTCGCTAAAGCCCAGACCCGGACGAGTGATGTCGCCCTCAATGGGCACAACCTTTTTCTTGCGCGGGTCGTCGTCGTTGAGCGCGTACTGGAAGGGAACCGCCGATAGCATAGCCGACAGTCGCTTATTGCTAGACACGTCGTTTTTGGGCCGCATTAACACATAGATTTGCCCGATGTCTGGACACGAAACCAGTAGTTTTAGTAGTAGTATCTGTGAATTTATCCAACGTTATTGTATTAGTTATCATAATCAATATTATTTTCAATACAATACAAATATATTTTATATAAACTACATAATCTAAATAATTCACTTAATATCTCGTATATTAAAAAAATGCTTCTTTACTTTACAAGAAATGGCATTTAAAATGCAAGATTCTGAATATTAAATAATGACTCGAATATTTAATTATAAATGATCAAGGTAATTTGAGGACCCATATTAGTTTACCTTTCCGATGAAACCGGAGGCGCCCGTAATAAACACCGACTTATTGGCATAGAATTGCCGAATACTTGATTTGTCATTACTATTATCCGCATTAATAATACAGTTATTATTATTGCTATCATTACTATTAATACACGTTTCGGTACTCATTATCGCATAAAATTTAATTTTATCACTTGTTATGTTATAATAGAATTTCGCAAAACATATAATAAAAAGTATATAAAACTATATAAATATAATTGAAGCAAACAAACAAAACAAAATTTAATTTATATTTTACACAATGTATAACACAAACACATTGGGAATAGAAAGAGTATTGAAGTGGAAAAGAAATCAGTTGTTAACAAATTTATAACTTATGATGAATAAGACGTGTAGTATTGCCCACAGAATTGCAATGTAATGATAAACCGTACGGAATATGTATAAAATTATATACACTTTTCACTTTCGCTGCCAAACATATATCAAACGGAAAGCCAATTGACGTCAAATTGTTTGCCGGAGAACTGGTTTTTGCACTCAAACGGCCACTTCATGTCGACATTGCCTTTTACTCACTCTCTCTCACTCTCCTCCCTGCTCTCTCCCTGCTCTCTCTCTCTCTCTCTCTCTC